ATATGATTTGATACACAATTTTATAAAACATGATCCATTTTTTTTTTTTTTTTTTTTTGTCCGAGTATAACATGAACTACCTACTCATAGATAATATACGTCATACACATATAAGTTCCCAATGTTTTATTTCACTTTCTTAGGCTCCATTTAGTACGAAAATTTAAATTAAGGTGATTCTTATTTTAATTTTAAAATCATAATCATGATTTATAATTTTGAATCCAATTATGATTTTAACTATCCTTGCGGATCCGAAGGTTATAATGCATACATTGTGCAGATGATCATCTGTCTAATTCTCAAGATGGAAGAATCTGGAATCCTGTAATTCAATCCCAAGACTGTTTTGGATTGAAGGAAAATTTAGGATGTTATGTACGTCATCCCACTTTCTCAGGAGATACAAGTATCATTGCTCAATTTAACCCAAAAACTGATTCGGGTTCAGGCAAGTGCACCAATTTACAAGCAGTCCCTGCAAATGTTTGCTGTCTTCTGATGTCGAATTTACTTGCATGGTAGAAAATGAATCGGTGGTTATTGGTGCAATGGATTCTTTTCTTAGTCCCTCACCCTTAAATCATCGTCCTCTTCAACGATAAAACAGGTGAAAAACATTACATTGAGGCCTTCCAAGCAAAAAGAAAGAATTAAATTCATTTCTCATTTACAATTCAATAGTTTTGCCAGTACATGAAAAAAGAGGGAAAAAAAAAGCTGTGATCCGCTTGAACTAATAACCAAAAATTGCGAGAAGAATGAGAGCAACAACTAAGAAATACCTTAGTCATATAAACAAGCAAAATTTTTCACCTGTTACTGTAGGTTGATAACTCGACATCTTCTTAAGCTAGTCAGACTTCTTTAACAAACTTAAGAGTACCCCGGCGCCAAGACTTGTAGCGACGAAACCAAGGGATGCCTCTGTAGATATATGGAATCCTGAAGAAAGAGTTGAGGAAATGTGAATATTAGGATGTATGGAAGATATGGTATAAAACGGTAGAAGGAGCTCCAGTGAGTACCCACCAAAAAAGTCCAGTATCATTTTACATCCGATAAAGCCCAGAACAACGCCAATGGATGGCTGAAAAGGAGAATTGAGGAAATCGGAAATTCAATTAAGTACAAATCCAAAACTCGTCGACATAAAAAGAGTAGAGGGTACAAAAACGGATTACGTTCAGACAATAATCCGGTATGCACAAAACTTGAAACCTTACGCTAATCAAACGTGTGGTATGTGGGCAAAGATAATTCATGTCATTACAATTTAGACTGAGCCGATATGTATGAAATGCAAAACCTTAATCTAATCAAGTGAGCGGTATGTTGGTAACATAATCCAAGTTATCAAGATCCTCATTAACAGCATCTAGCACCTATACTATCAACCAAAGCCAAGAATGTTAAAAGTTCCAAATTGACTTCTATCACTAATGTATAAGGCCTTCCTTGTTAGAGCTCCTACAAAAACTTTTTCTCCGGAAAAGGGGGAGAAAAAAAAAGTAAAAAAAAAAAAAAAAGCCTCAAGCATTTAGTTCACCTATATTAAAACTCCAGACAAATCAAGAAGGGAATGGAATTTTTGACTGGCAATAAAAAAAGTACGAAAATTTATAAATTCAGATGCAGCAAATCAACTTTATACCTGTAAATACTCCAATTCCGACATACCCTCAGAAATTAGAGTGTAAAGTGACCTTAAACCTGCATTTGTCAGAAATATTGTTGATTAGATTATCTATTGGCATATTCATATGCAAGTAACCTTTGTATTAGACCTAAAGTATGAGCCTCAATTTAATTGAACGTTACTTTTAATGGCCTGAATTATTTTGATCAGATGGTATGATAATTTGGAAATAGAAACATTGAAGAGAACACATAAGATTCAATCCAACACCATTCTACGAAATACGAATATTATCAACTTGAGAGATAAATTTATCCAATTATCCGTTGAGGGGCATACAGAAGTAGCAAGAATTACCAATGATGGCAAAGATATTAGAAGTGTATACTATGAAAGGATCCCGTGTAACACCAAATACCGCTGGTATAGAATCAACCTAAAAGAGCATGAGGCATCGTATTAATGTTACATTGAGCATTAGTTCATTATAACAAGCTAAAAAACAGTGTCCGACATAAGTGATGGGCGAAAAAACCTACTGCAAATGCAATATCACTGAGCTCAATAACTGCTACGGTGAGAAGTAAAGGTGTGGCCTGCCCAAAATGTTTTAGACCTGTTAGAAATCAAGTAGAAATCAATATAAAGCATGAAATCTTAGTTTGTTCTGAGAAACAGAAAATAGAGCTAGTGGGTCCAGAGAAAAGTTGCTAAATATTTTGGAGCTTGTATATATTCCTATGGACTGCTTACTACGCAGGTAGTTAAATAAAATTTTGAAAACTCAAAAGCTCGTAAACAACTTACTTTCCGTACGCCATCCTGAACTGTGAAAAATCGATTGCCATCATAACTAGCTGCGAGAATTCAAGAAAAAGGAGGGGGGAATAAGAGGGCTAAGTCAGCACAAACTTAATCAAGATTAGAGTATGAATTAATCTTGCTCCTTATATCTATCAATAAAAGTTGAGAATCACCGGCTAAACACAGATGGCCCAAGAATATAATTGTACAAATTTGCAGGAGAAAAATAACCCCTTCAATGGTACTTTCCTTTTTCTTTTACACATAAAACTGCATTGAGAAATGCCTTATCTGCCCTTTTATAAATTGGGAAACTCAAGAATATAAAAAGATCAAGTCCTAAACCATCAGATAACCTACACATAAGCATCAGTTCTTACCTGTGATAGGGATAAATCTCTGGCATGTCTTCACAATAAAGTTGTCAGATAGGTCAGTGTCATCTTCTTCAGTAGCAAATAGCTATCGAAACATGACAAACACAATTTACTGTCATGAGACATTTAACCTAAAAGATTAGCATAAAAGACCACGAGCTGAACTTTACATGGGCAATGAAGAACAAAAGCTGCTCGTGTTACGACATATTAAATTTAAACCACAAACATCTTGAAACCACAAATATAGGAGAAGTTGAGAGTGGTTTTCAAGCTTGCACAAAATCAGAAGCAGCTACGAATTATCATCTCTAGAGAGCTAGTGTTAGTGTGTTACAAATTGCTTAGTCTTTAATTGTTTCCTAGGTATGAACCAAGAAGTTTTGCTGTAAACCTTTTTTTGCTATTGTGTTTTCTTCCACAAAAATCTAAACAAACGGGCCACAAAAAATTAAATTTTTGTTCAGACTTTATGTTCAAACCTTTGAAATAAAACGGGCCATTAGTTAAATAAGCGTTTGGTAGATGGATCCAGAATCATGATTCTGGATCCTGATTCAGAACCAGTGTTTGTTTACGATGATTCTGAATCATGATTCAGAATCAGTGTTTGGTTTAGATGATTCTGAATCTGATATGATATTTTAAACCAGAATCACTCATCATTCTAAAACCACCCCCCTCTTGATTCAAGGTGATTCAAACCCCTGATTCTAAATCATGATTTCAAAATCATGATTTGAACCCAAAATCATGAATCATTGTTCTAATTCCAGAATCATGATTAGAATCACTCTAGTTTGAATACTCATACCAAACGAATGATTGCAAACTCACACCATTTAATCATAAACTAATAACAGTCGTGATATACGGGGAAAAAAATTAAAGGAAAAAAAAAACATATGTTTAGTATTGTAGTGAAAAGCTTCTTGAGTAGAATATTCACCTTGAACGATGAGTAAAGTAGTATCAAAGCTAGTAGAATGTTTACTGCCTCAAACCTCTGAAACAACAATAAAGGGGAAAGGATTTAGAAAGTTGGCCCTTGGCACAAACAAGCTCACCCGGCCAATGTACACACAGCATGAAATTTACCTGAAGTGTTGCTGTCCCAAGAAGTATTATCGTCAAACGAAATATCACTGCACCGGCAATGCCATAAGAAAGTACCCGATTCTACACTTCCATCATCACAAATTTTCAATACCACAAGCTTGCACGTGACGGTATTAATGTAAAAACAATTCAATAACTTCTATGAAGAAATTAGTGCTTTTTTAAGCCATAACGCTGCATTATTTGAAAACAATATATACAGATTTGATATACACCTGATACGCATGTGGCACTTTGAAGTACTTAAAGATTAGAACAAAGACAAACATGTTATCCACTGACAAGCTTTGCTCCAATATATACCTGAAAATAGAACAACATTTATCAAAGTGAAACACGTATGACCAATCCAAGCCAAGGGAAATAAAACCAAGTTCGTACTTCTGAGACAATCTAAGACTACAAAGTCAATGAAAGACGCAATGAATGGATTTCATACCAGCTCAGAGTACTTTCGATTAAACATTGTAATTTTTTATCATGTTTTTGTTATAAAAACAATGACTAGTGATTTCGGAAATAAAGAGTTTGTTCTTGAAACTTGAAACGCTATTGAATGCGAGATTTCCATACCCAGCAAAAAACTCCGACGCCTTTTCGACTCCATCTTTAAGCCCCAAACCGATGCCAAATGCAACCGCAGTGCTTACCTATAGTAATCAATGATTCCACCGATGTTATTATTAATGCTCTCAGAATCAATAAGCGGAAAGTACACAAGCCAGACTACATGGGCAGGCAAGTACTCACCCAGAAGGCCACATTTCTAACAGACGAAGCATATCTTTCATTTTCCTTGGTCTTTTCTGAATTATCAAATGAAAGGGAAAGTGTGAGATTTATCAAGTTCAACATTGTTAATTTCATCACGCATGTCAAATCAATGCCCTTCCCTTGTACAGAACCATGATACCACTTTATATTAAAACACTTATACATATTAAATTATTTGTCTAACTGCTTATACACTTAAAATTCAGTTCCCATTTGAGAAAACATCAAAAATACAACATAGAGTAATTAAGAGAAATAACCAAGTTTAGAACTACGTTTCAACAAATGGCTGAATTTATTTATTTTTCATATTTTGTAGACTGATCAAATGCATATAAAATGATAGACTGATCAGGTAAGTAAATGATTAACCACAATATCGAATATGCAATTTACTTAAAAATAATAATTTATTTCCTTGCAATTTAGCCAAATGGGAGGCTAAAACATGAAATCCACTAGAATGCCCGTATAATCTAATGGAGAGGAGGAGCCATAAGCCATTTCTCCAGAACCTAAATAATTTTTTCATGATGTGCATCATTTCTCTTTGAGAAATAAAAAAAAAGGAAGAATATCAAAATACAAATACATTGGAAGATAAAGCCATGTTTTTTTTTCCCTCTTTTTCACATTGCAAGATCATTAAGCCATCTTCGCTTAATCCTAACTCAAATCAAAGCAGATATTTCATGAAATGAGCTTAAAAGTCCACCACACAACCGGATTAGGAATGAAAGATCACCTTTTTTTCGAATTTAGCTTCAAAACAATATCAAAAACAGAAATTCAGCTCAGAAAAATCCAGATTTGAATCCGCTATGAAACCAACAACACTCAGTGACACAGGAACCACTCACTCACCGGATGCTGAGGCAGACAAATCGCCCCGCTGTTCAGTCCCTCTCGAGCACGAAACCGGCGAAAATTGGCATCGGCCACTTCGACGAGCTAAACAAGAAGTAAGCTTTGGCTCTGAGCTTTCAACAATAATGGCGGAAACTTAAAAAAACAGAGATTTAGAGAGAGAGAACCTGTAGGAAGGCGAGGAATTTGGCGGCAATTGTAGTGAAAGGAGGTCCGAATTGGGGATTGAGATCGTGGAGAAACCCTAAGAAGGAAGCAACGATCGAGCTTGGGATGAATGTGGGGTCCATTGTGGACGACGGAAGCTAAACCCATGGCTCTGCAACTGCGAGCGATGAAGAAAGAAGAAATGGAAAAATGGGAAACATTGCCCTTCTTATATATCTTATCCCAAAGCCAAAACGGGAATACTGACAATAATATCATGCCCTACTAATTCGAGTTTTTAATTCGAATTAAGATGTGATATTATATGAGAGTTTTTTATTATAGTAAAAAAATTAGATGTGATTGTTTCTGAAAGCTTTTTACTGTAGCAAAATTAGAATTGGCGAAGTGAACGGGACCTCAGTAAAAATATTTTAGATTACTTAACTCATCCTCGTCACTTTAGAATAATTTTAAGCTTCGTTTATTTCACCGATTTCGACAGTAAAAAGTTCTCAAAAAATATTATATTTAATTTTTTCTGTTACAGTAAAAAACTCTCAAAAAATGTCACATCTCAACTCGAATTAAAAACTTAAATTCGCGAAATGAATGAGACCTTAAAAACTCTAATTTTACCTTTTAAATTTTATATTATTCTCATTTAATTCTTTTTGATGTAATTTTCATTTTTTAAGTGAATCTTTTTATTATAATTTTTGTTAAAAATAAATAAATAAAATAATATAGTAAGGTGATATTTTTATTTGAATTTTTATTAAATATAAACGGACAAAACCCACTTAACCTCTTTTTTTCCCTCTAATTTTAAAAATTTTTATAAAAGAGTTTGAATAAGACAAATTTAAAATTTTAAAAACAAAATAAGAGTTTACAAAGTTTAAATAGTAAAGTGAGAATAATCCTAAAATTTAATGCACACTAGTGAAATCCAAATATTTTTTACTCATATTTCACTCGTAAATAGTTTTGTAAAACAATTATTAGAGATTGATGAAGAGTTTTTTTTCATATCCTTTTTTTTATTTGCTAGAAAATGAAAGTAAAAATAAAAAGTTATAATTTTGGTATTAATTAGAACAAAATATTTAATTTATTTATTTGTTTTTATTAAGATAATTGTTTTATATTGTTTAGATATTATTTTAATAATTGAATTGATAAAATTTATGTTCTTAAGCTTATTATAAGGAGAGGAATTGAAATATCTGATCAATTCTTAAGATTCCATCAAAATCCTTACTTTTTTATATGCAACTATTGTTTTCATTAACTATTGTCGTTTTAATGTTGTCGATTTGGAGTGCATGAATTTAAATTTTTATTCATTATTTTTTATTAATATATTTTTTAGTTAAATAATCATATTAATTAAGAGGAAATGATAAAAATACAGAACTTACTAGCAATTTTCTCGTCTTTTTCATAGCTAATTTTCTTTTAGAAAGTTTTTTTTTCTACTTTGGAATTGTTGGCAGTGAGAAGTAGGGGTGTAATTCGGCTAGATAGGCTCGGGTTGGGCCGAGCCGCACTGTGCGGGTTGAGAAAACTTTGGGCCGCAATACCCTTCCCGCACGGTTCGGAGAGCACTGAATTAGAATGAGAGGTTCACCACCACATCATTGCATGCAAGGGGAGCCCACAAACTTGTAACCTATCGGATGACCTCAGGTAGACTCGGGTTACTCAAATTACACAGATTAAAATATGCTATTGAGTACATTTTCCTTTCTAACAATACACAGCCCACCAAAAAATTCTAACAATACAGCCCACACAAAAAATTTTAACAGTACAGCCCACACAAAAATTCTAACTATAGCCCATTAAAAAATTCTAACAATACGCAAATTAATTTGTCATTAGAGGGCCTTTTGCAATGGCCGACATTTGCTGTGGATTAGTTTAATTCTTACACCCCTAGTGAGAAGCCAAACGGAAGAAGACGTCGTTAAGTCGAAGAAAAAGACGAACCTCTTTTGGTAGATTTGTGGAGCTCAAACAAACTTAAAACAACGCCTCCACGACAAAATGAGAAAATGAAACGACATAAAATTATAAACGACAATGACATGAAAGTGACAATAAGTATAAAACGACAAAATCTCAAATACGAGAACAACAAGCAAAATACTAGAAGAGTAAAAAAAAAAAAAAACTCGTAATATTGTATGTGTGACGCTATTTTCAAGTCGCTACAGTTTGTAGATATCCTTGTCGTTCATTCTCGTTTTTTAATAGTTGATGTCGTCTTGCTGTTTATTTATGTCGTTGCTTGTCAGCCCTTGTCGTTTTTAAAAAATTGTCGCTTTTATTATTCTTTGTTGTTTTTTATAGTTGCGCGGCTACTCTAATTATGCTAATTATTTCTTTAGTTAAAATAGTTAATGATTTAACTTTTTTAGCTTTTTTCTACTCTAAATATTAATTAAATAGTTAGCTATATTGATTAAAGTATTTTTCACTAGTTAAATATAGTTAGTAAGACGTAGTTAGCCATTTGTTCTTTTTATTATTTATATTTTAAATCCAAAAAAGTATTAAAATAATTTATATTTAGTTAAAATAGAGAATATGATTATAGCGACTCACTAAAAAATTACTGATTAAAATGGATAAAAATAATTTAACTAAAATTTAGAGCTCCATTAGATATGCTCTTAGGTGCTTGCGTTCTTTTAATCGTTCTTGGTTTTTAGAGTGACGACCTTTAGTTGTAGTCGTTGCCGTTTCAACCATTGTTGTCCTTTCTTATTTTTGACAGTATTTTCTCATGTTATTGCTCTTTATATATAGTATTGTCGTTTTTCAATTATTATCATTTTCTCCCATCCTATTGCTTTTAGCACAAATAGCAAAAAAAAAAAAATATATATATATATATATATATATATGAACAAAGTGTACCAACAAATTGTACCATATGTTGTAAATCAATTGCATTGCATTGGATGTTACCTTTTGGTATTCTATAACCTACGTAAATATTCACTCATACAATTTGGTAAATGGATTTAAAATTATGATTTCGGATCTTAGTTCAGCAGTGTTTGTTTACAGTGATTCCAAATCATGACAATCATTTGATACGAGAATTCAAACCAAGGTGATTCTAATCATAATTCTGGAATCATAATTATGATTCATGATTTTGGGTTGAAATCATGATTTTAAAACCATGATTCATAATCAAGGGCTTGAATCACCTTGAATCAAGAGAATGGTGGTTTTAAAATCCTGGTTTGAGCTTGTTTAACATCACATTAGATTCCAAATCATGAAGAATATCCAAACGATGATTCTAAATCATGATTCATGGACGTTTGGTAAGGGGATTCGTATCCTGATTCGAATCATGATTCATGGTTCGCTACAGTATTTTCTCTTACAAAAAATACACGTAAATCGAAAATAGTTCTAATCTCATGATTCTAATCCATGAACCAAACATCTCCGCGCGTTTGATAGATGGATCCAGAATCATGATTATGGATTCTGATTCAGAATCAGTGTTTGTTTACAGTTATTTTGAATCATGATTCTGATATGATTCAGAATCAGTGTTTGGTTTGGATGATTCTGAATCATGATTCAGAATCTAATGTGATTAAAATCACTCATAATTCTAAAACCACTCCATCATGATTCAAGGTGATTCAAACTCCTGATTTTGAATCATAGTTTCAGAATCATGATTTGAACCCAAAATCATGAATCATGGTTATAGTTTTAAAATCATGCTTAGAATCATCCTGTTTGAATCTTCGAACCAAGCGATTATAAACAAACAATGATTTTAAATAATAATATAAAATCATAATTCTAAATTCATCTAATTAAAATCACACTGATTTAAATTCTCATATCAAACTCTGATTTGAATCCTCCGTACGTACCCTGATATTCTCCACACCCTGGTTTGAATTTCATAAAAAAAATTCATTAATTATTATTACATTACCAAAAAAAAAAATCCCCGAAAATCGCACCCTTTCTGCGGTCCTATTTAAACCCTCTGCAATCCGAGTGCTCTCAGACCACACCAAACGGTTCTCTCTCTCTACTTTCTCTCTCCTTCATCGTCTTTCTTGAGCAGTATCCATCTCTCTCTCAGAGACTCTCCACATCCCCTCCAATGGCGACCGACTCGCAGAAGCCCAGCGACAACAATCCCTCTGTGGAAAACCCTACGATAGCCCTAGACCCCGCAGCCCCGCCCACCGCCAAACTCCAAGACCCGAAGACTGACGCTTCGTCCGCTGCTCCTCCGTCGCCCTCCGACTCCGTCTCCGGAAAAGAGGCCGAGGGCGCTTCCAAGTCCGCGGAGGTTCCTACCGCTGCCTCCGCCGCGGTGGCTACGGTTTCCGATATCGAGAAGAAGATGCGCAGAGCCGAGAGGTTTGGGATATCCGTACAGCTCACCGAAGAAGAGAAGCGAAACTCTCGGGCCGAAAGGTATTCAAAATACTATTTTTCTTTTTCAATTCCTTTGGGATCTATTCGAATTAGGGTTTTTTTCTAGGGTTTCTGCTGTTCTTTTTTTTTTGCCGTCAAATATTTCTGGAAAAGAAAAGAAGTTGAATCTCGTGGTAGCTTCTTTAGGAAATATCCTAAACTTGATGACCCAGTAATTTTACATGCTCGAGATTTATATTATAGCTGTTTATGTTGTACTTCAAGGGGAATTTTTTTAGAATTTTTTGAGGTATTGAGAATGGGATTTTGGTGTCACTTCAAATGGCAAAACTTGTTTTAATGAGAAAAATTAGCACGAAATGAAAACAAGTAATTCGCAATCTTTGATGTTGTTGTTTTACCAATTTTCTGGGGATCTATTCAAATTAGGGTTGTTTTTAGAGTTTCTGCTGTTCTTTTTATGTTATGTTGATAATTTTTGGATAAATTAAAGAAGTTTATTTTCCTTAACACCAAGAAATTGTAATTCAAGATCAAGAATACTTATTCGGAATGTTGATAATCAGGTAATGCATTGTAGTTAAAATTTGCAATTGGGAGTAGGATATTGGTTCCGCTGCAAACGTGTTGCTAATTTAAATAGGAAAAGGTGTTTGTTACTTAAAGATAAGGAGCTTTTAATTGATTTTCCTTTTGTTGCTTTCCTGCTTTTTTTTTTCCCCTTCCCCTTTTCTGTAATTGAATTTCTCAAATATTGGTTGATTTTATTTCAGGTTCGGTACTGGATCCTCATCTGGTGGGTCAGAATTACCAAAGAAATCGGAGGAGCTGAAGAGGAAGGCCAGAGCAGAGAGGTGCTTTCTTTTGTCTTCTTTATTGTGCCACTTTTGACTGTTCCAAAACATTGCTTTGAAAAGGGACTATTTTTTTTCTTATTGTTGTACGTTTGTAATTGTTTTCTGTTATTTTGTTACTTAGGTTTAGTACGTCTAGTACACCAGTAGCCTCCAACCCTGAGGAGGAGGCCAAGAAGAAAGCTCGACTTGCTAGGTTTGCACCAGCTTCCAAAACTGATCCGGTAGAAGATGACAAAAGGAAAGCAAGAGCTATCAGGTGTGGATAACTGCTAGCTACTTCCCCCATCTTCAGTTAAATTACTTTTTGAGCTTCATAATGCCAGAGCTGATGTGTGTAATTTCTCTTCTTAGGTTTGCAAGCACTCCTTCAAATTCTTTATCTCAAACGAATGGTAATGGACAGGCAAATATTGAACCGGTAAAGTTTCTTACTCTTGCTGCTTTTGCAAAACGTTAATTATGAATCAATCAATACTGTTTACTGTTTGCATTTCTTGCAGTGCTGATGTTTCTTTTTTTTTTTTTTTTTTTTTTTTTTTTTTTGTGCAGAGTAATGCAGCTATTGCAGGAAAGGCTGGAGGAGGGGCTTGATGGAAGCTTCTTCCTTCAATAGTGAGATGACTTTCTACGTCCATTTTAGTAGATAACATATGAGTTATTCCAAATTAATGCATTCTGTCTTGTCTAATATTTTGAACTTTTTATGTGCTTTGTTCTGATTATGTTTTTCCCTCATTTGTTGCAGGCCTAGGTTCTAACAGTCTGTGATTTCCCTCAAGTGTTTTTGTTCTAGTCATGTCTACTCCCCAAGTCACCATTACGAGGATTCTCATGTGCAGCATTTTCTGTTGTTGGATACCTTCCCCAAATTAGTTTAACAGGATCATGGCAGTATCCGGAGCTTTCTCGCAGTTGAATTTATCCTAATGTCATTATTACCCAGTGAGGTCTTGAATTAGCAACTACCTACTTAGTGTTCAGATATCTTCTAATCTACTAAGAATACCAGGAATTCTGAAATTTAACTCTAGGGGAAAAAAATGTGTCTAGCTATTTTACTACTCTTTTTGGTAGTCAACGTTTTTTTCTAACCTAACAAGTCAGGCTTATTTCCTAGCTCGTTTGCACATCATTTTGGGCAGCCTCTCAATGCTCTCAGGATATTTCGTATTCATCATATAGTATTGAATGGTCATGCGAAGTTGGTTTTATGAGTTTAGATCATTTCATTGGACTGTTATGCCTCGAATCTTTGCTGACTTTCTACACTTTCTACATGAGGAGTGGTGTAACTGACCTTAATTAATCTGGAGAAGAAGTAAAAATAAAATCTGAAATATGAACTTTAAGTAGGAGCCACTATTTAGATTTTCTATTTAGCCGTGCAATATTTGATTTAGCTAGTAGATGATTTTAAACTCTCAGCGGTGAGATTGATAGTTTATTCGCCATATTAAACCAAACCACATTAACTCTTTTTCCACAGCCATCTCTCTCCCTAAGAGAAGGATAAACATAAATAAGATCGTAGACATTTAAGGCGGATGGCCGACTGACATGTGACTGTTTAACATTTAGGGCTAACAGTGTTTGACTGTGGTTGAGGTTTTATTTTTCATCTTCTGCTTGATGACAGTGCATGACTACTAACCTAATACATGAATCAGATGTCATCATTTGCATTACATGGCGATGAATTACATTCAATGCTACTTCCAAGTGGATCAGGAAAAATTATCGAGGCAATGTGCTACTTTGTGATGAGTTCCGTTCTTTGCTGTTTTTAAGCACATCGAAATAAGGGTTGACTAACAAATGCGAATTTGTCAGATGAAAGGACATGTTTGAATGTGTTGGCACTTTTTTGTTAGAAGAAGATCCCGAAGATTAGTGTTTTTCCTAGGCGTTAATTTTAGAATTCCTGATATTCTTAGCGGATTGTTTGAGATATGTGAACTCTTTGGAGGTGTTTGTTAATTTTCTTTGGCCTCTGGGTAAATTGCGGAATCTTCAAGGCGGGATACTGGAACGGGTGATATTTGTCAGCTGAGTTGATTGTGTAACCTTTATTATGCATTTTGTATATTAAGTTTTCTTAGCTGCAGAACTTACTATCTTGTAAGGGGATTCTTTTGTGTTTCCTTTCTAGGAGTAATGGTTGGGAGGACCAGGTTACTTAATTGGATGGAGGGAATTTTATTTGCTTTTCATGTTATTATTATTAATATTACTATTTTGTTTGGGGGAATTACTATTTCTATTGTTCTTGCTATTTTGCATGAAATATTGCTCATATTCTTGCCTCTGTAATAGTGACAGGATCGGAACCAATACGTATTGTGGTCCTTAATGCCAAGGCTCTAATTCGATGTTTTTTTTTTTGGCCATTTTTATCTGATTGGTGCTTGTCTACAATACCTAGAAGGAAGAAAGGTCTGTTAACGTAATAATTTTTTTATATAGGGAATGTTTAATTAATCCAGATCTAGACTGAATTAAGGGTATGTTTACTTTGCATGAAAGGGAAAGAGAAAGTGAGGAGTGAGTTTTTATTTTATTTTATTAATAATGATGTTTGGTAGAGGGATTCGTTCTCCGATTCGAATCATGATTCATGATTCGCTACAGTATTTTCTTACAAAAAATACACGTAAATCGAAAATGATTCGAATTACATGGTTTAAATTCTCCAACCATACGTTAGTTGCTCTACAAAATTTAGGGAAGAGGAAATCTTTACTCTTTTAGTATTGATCAAATGAATGTTAAATTTACTTGTCTATTATTAATGAATTAATATATAATTCAAGAATTATCAAATTGTGTAGAAGGAAATTTTAGTTATTACATTCATAACATTGTTATTTTTAATCTTAGTAAAATATAAGAAAAGGAATGAGATTTTTTTTTCATTACACTAACTAATAGTTAAGTAAACGCTTAAAAAAAGAATGAATGACTTTAATTTTATTATTTTCTTTTTCAATTCTATTACGTTTTCCATTACATTCTTTTACAGTATGATGATCACACCCGAAATTCTAAACTCATTTGATAAAACATGGGTTTGTGATTTTATAAGTTGATTGCTAGTATTAATAGCCAAGACTTGAAAAGGTTGTTTCACTTGTTAAGATCTAGAATGCCAAGGGAAGCTTAATTTGCCTTAAATTGTACTGCAAGATCAGAGCATTAATCCACCAATAACTTGAGGAAAACGCATATTTGCCGCGATTATCTCTCTTTCAAATGAAAATGATGGTGAACGGAGAACGTGAAACTGTACACATAATGCGGGACTAGAGATGAGCTCTTGATATTGTCATCTAAACATTTAAGGGGGTAAAGAAAAAGGTTGAGATTACAAGAATGAGAACTTTTATCTATTACGAAGAAGAAGAAATCATACATTTTTAGATCAACAATGTGTAAAAGTTTATCTACAAGACAGCAGGGAAAGATGCAGGCAAGTCCAAGGTTTTCCTACCAAGTCCTCCTAGTGAGTTTTGAGTAGGTCTCATAGTGTGTGCTTCCAAGCCATCAAGCCTAGGATCCAGGTATATTTCGTTGTATGGATAGTTTCTCTTACTATGAGAAGCTCGAGATTTTCGAGCAATCTAGTACTGTAATCACCGTTCGACAAACTTGAAGATAGCTAGAAAATGAGTGACCCCCTGTTAGGAATTGGCAGGGGCAGGGATTCCTCCCCTTATGGAAACAGGGGAGCTGCGGAGGAAGTTCTCATTGATCAAATGGGGGTCGAGAAACACAACTACGACCGATATATCATCGTGAAAATGGCGTCTCACCCCCGGTTCGATCTTTTTCAGGTCAGAGTACCTCAGCTCTCTTTTCTTAGCTGCTTCCACGAGCGCAGATTTAACAAGCCTCCTGGCAATTCCCTGCAAAACCAAAGGAATGAGTTGTTAAACGCGGTGAGCTAAGTTGAGACCAACGAAGACCAGGTGATGAAGGTTGGTCTGAGAGTACATAGTAGTACCAAATCTTACATTACGTGGATAGTTGTTGACAATATCGACCGCCTCCTGGTTGGTAAGATGCTCCCATAGGCCATCAGAAGCAAAAATGAGAAATTTATCTTGCCGGCTGAGTTTCTCTACTGTTATTGATGGCTCTGAACTAAGGATTGGCTTGAAGAAAGGTTCGGGAAGTCTAAACCGAGGCAATAGAGGCTCTCTGTTGAATTCTGACCTCTTTAAATATGCATCACCAATGGATCTTGAAACCTGCAAAAGAGGTAAGCAACTCCATCAAACAAATGGATTACTGCTCAGCAGTCCAATGATTTACAACACTAAAATAGGTGCTCATGGCAAAGGACGTTATATGAGTGTCGGAGAATCGCACTAAGCTCTTGAAAATCTGAGGAGATCTCAGTATCTAAGTTGCCCTTCCTTTACTCGGCGGCTTCTGCAATACTAAGAAGTCTAGTACTTGCAAAATTGATATCGCAAAGCGGCATTCATCTTGTTCGATTTAGTTACAAAAGTTCTATTGTTTCCCCTCCTGTATTCCACGTTGTTAACACTTTCGTTTTTGTTTGAGAGAGATGCAAATCACACCACATTTTGCTCTTATCAAAACCTGAGTCCTAATGGCTTGGGAAAAACCTTAAAAATTTTCAACAACTTAAGCTTTATTTTCTTCTGATCTTAACAAATTAGTCCTTGCCATAGCATAAATTTCACTATAAATAAATCTAGAATGGAAATGCAAAAAGCATTTATATCATACCACTGAAGATAGCTAAGTTCACTAGGGATGAATTTCATGCTATAAAATCAACAAAAGTTTGCATCTTTCAGAATACTTGGGAATTGCTAGAATGGCAAAAAACGAACCTGTATGAGCCCCTTCACACGCCAAACTTTGTGTTTTAACACAACAATCTGCGAGTCATACGGATGCATTGCCTGCAATTCCTCTCTCACTGATTGTATACTTGCATTGTGCTCTGCGGATAACTGAATAGCTCTGACTTCATGAGTTGCCCTTTCCTCTCTCCCCAAAATCGCCCGAGAATCTCCAACATTTGCAATGTATATCATCCCGTTGCATATTATTCCCACCAAACAACATGTCCCAGTTGAAGCAATTTGGGGTCTGCTATGCCACTGTTTCTCAACAAGAGAGAGAAAGCTCTCTTCTGTGGCCAAAAAAGCCTTCTTGATAACTCGTTCCGATATGCATTGGTTCTCAGATGCCACTCCTGCATACATAGTTGACAAAAAGGCAAAAGAGTCTCAGTGACTATATAATGCTCTAAACAAGGATATATGGTTGGAAAGTCAATTAGTACTTCATAACTTGCGTTAATCAATAATATCGAAACCATAATTAGAAAGTCAAGTTTCACATAGCTAGTAGACTTTTTTCAAGACTATAACAAATGACAGTCTCATTCTTATCAATCAATCCCATTGCTGTAAGTGAGGCGTATACGGACAGTCTGCTTCGTGAGCAGGATCCATATGCCACAAATAAATGCATTAACTCTCCAAAATTATCTGCATATGCCACCCTCTATCCTTATAACAACAAAAAATTGTTTATAATTGTCATTCTTATTCTTTGCTATGGTTGCCTAGGAAAACAAAAGTTGAAGAAATGATAGAGAAGGGTTGGTTCCTCAGCAACATAAATAAAACTTTACCCTATTGAGCTCTATCTACAAGGCAAACTATGGTTTTGTACAATTAAAACAATGTGGCCATAGTAAATAACTTGATTAGTGCAGTTTGCACAATTGTTTAACTTCAGCTCAGTACTTGATCTTTGAAAGCTCAAAACCATCAAGACCTTAAAACAACTTAATGAAACTGTCATTGCACAAAACTGAACAATATATATACACACACACACACACACACACACACACACACACATGTATATATATACACATCAAACAAAAATCAAGTAGGGGAAATAAATTAAGAAAAATACATACTCTTAAGATTGCGGAAAAGATTGTCATTAACAAATCTGGAAGCCTCCGGTCCTCCATGGCCATCATAGACCCCAACAAAGGTCCCTTGAGGACCTGAACTTGTGGAACTCAACGGCCCAGATTCAAGCTGACTTTGATCTTCCAACACAGCATTGGCTTGAATCACAGCCATTGAAAAAACGCCATAAGCATGACTTCCCAGATCCTTGTACCACATCAACCCATCAATTCTCCCACCAGATTCATCTCCATCCACAGAAGGTTGTTTCCAACAAGGTTTAACCATTTTTTTTTCTGCCCCCCAAAAAAATAAAAGTAGAAACTTTACCAATATAAACGATGTTTTTTCACATTCATTTTCCAAATGAAGATATTCAGATCAAACCCACTTGGCAAAACTAAATATACTGTCATGCCCAGTAAGTGTAGTAGACACTAGACACCATCATTATGGGAAAAACAAAAAAGTTTGGGATAAAGAGACCAAAACTCCAAAAGGGTATGGGCAAAATCAACTGGAGAATAGAAAAAAAAAAAATAAATAAATAAAAATGTGGTCTTGAGAAGAGTTCAGAGAATATGGAAGCGGTGTGTGCTGGTTCTGTGTACCTTGAATCTGGGTTGTTGCATATGTTTTTTTGGGAGCTTTTCCATGCGTGACATCTCTTAGGAAACAGACTTAGCTGGAAAAGCACATACACATTTTAAATGGTCCAAAGATCAGGAAGTGAATGTGATCAAAACACTAAAGAGGGAGGGAGCAAAGGATAAGAGAAGGCCTTGGAGTTGTTTGGGCAGAAGATCTTCGGATTGTTGTCAGATGAGATCTAAGATGTGGGGGGAGAGCCAAAAAAAAAAGTTAAAAAAAAAGATTTTAAACCACAAGTTCTGACATTGTTGTTTGTTCTTTCTCTCTCTTTCTCTTTCTCTCTCTGTCTCTCTCTCTTGTTTAATGTTTTTGTGGCCAAGTGGGTTTCTTTCTTCTTTGAGGCTCTCTCTACTGAAATTTCATGGCTGAGATTTTGATTTGGAGTTCTCTGACCTTTGTTTTAGCAGGTAATCCACCATTATTTGTTAGCAAAAGAATAAGAAATAAAAATGGCAACTTTTTTTTTTTCCACCTGTTTTTGTCTGGTTTAGTGGCCGCCCGTTCCTCTCCTAACTCCCCTTAATAAAGGGTAGTTGTTTCTACACAAAACCGTGTCCTAACTAAACTACTCTTTTCCCTTTTTTTTTTTTTTTTTTTTTTTAAATCTTATTTTCATGGCTCTTTTGGCAACTGTTTTGAATTGAAAGATCATTTTCTTTTGCATTGTCATTGACCTCTTCTATTGTGAAATTAACAATCTTAGAATAGTAATAAAATGTATGCAAATTAGAGTTCAAATGAGTTTGTGCTATATACAAAAAGCATATTATACCACTATTTCATTGGCAGTAATAAAAACACATGCAAACTAGTATTAACTATACCACTCTTATCTCTCTCTCTTTTTTTTTTTTGGCCTTTTTGGTGACTGTTTTGATGACCCCTTTTTCTTGTGCATTGTCATTGACCTCTCAATTACTCTCTTCTTGTGAAATAAACAATCTTAAAAGTACTTTTATGTCAAAAATAACTTAGAATAAAAAATGCGTGCAAATTAGAGAACAAATGAGTTAGGCTTCGTTCATTTTATTGATTTGAGTTTAAAATTTGAGTTTTATTACAGTAAAAAGCTCTCAGCAATAGTCACATTTAACTTTTTTACTATAATAAAAAGTTCTTACATAAAATCACATATCAACTCGAATTAAAAATTCAAATCAGCGAACTAAACGGGTCTTTAGTGTTATACGCAAAAAGTATATTGTATCACTAACTTCATTGGAAGTAATAAACATATGCAAACTAATATTAACCAAGTATAGAGTTGGCAATGAGTTGGAACCAACCCTTTGGAGTTCTATTTGACACTGTCCAGAGACCCATGCCACGCCATTACTCCTCTCCGTTCTAAAAACATTTCAGCGTCTTATTGGTTTTCAAGTATTAATCTTTGAAAATGCCCTTCAACGGATTGAAATAGTACAAGAGAGACCCACCAAACGAGAGAAATAAAAGAAAAAAGAAAAAGAGATTTTAGTAGATGTACTTCCTAAACTTCTCGCGGTTTGACACTTTTGCCGCTGAATTATTTTTCTTTGCACTTTAGTTCTAAATTTTACAAAATAGTTTCAATTAACCGGAATTAAATTTTAGACCTAGTAAATATAATGGTTTAGCAAACGAGCCCTTTAAAACTTCTTGTAGTTTAGTACTTTAATCCTTAAAAGATCCTTTTGGTCACATCTTAAATTTAACTCCAACTAACAAGCGGAGTTCATTGCTATTTTTTTGGAAATTTAGGAGAAAAATGGAGTTTATTATAGTCAATTAAAAAAATTTTAAGTATAAAAATGCTAAATCACTGAAAGTTCAAGGAGCATAAGTGCTAAAAAACCAAAAAGGGAAGAAAAGATAAGAGAGTGCGTTTATATGGAATGACAAAGAAAACACAAGAGTTCATTACATTGTGTTAAGTTCATTTCATTTCCAAGTTTTCTTTTTCTAAAACGTCATGTTTTGAATGCCTTTTGAATATTCAAATCACTTTCAAACAAAGCGTATGTTAGAAGTGCTAGTTTGCAGTAAAATTCATGTTGAGAACCAAGTCAAGAAAGGCAAAAGAGTTGAATGGAATAAAAATTTGATGTAAATGTTCTATGGTCAGTGCTTTGCACATATTAGAAATATATATATATATATATATATATATTGTAGCATCACGAGGACCGCTGATGAGGACCAAACAAAGATTTCGGTACACGCACTGAGACACCAATATTGGGACAAACAAAAGCATGTTCATCATCAACTTGGATCATGTCTAGGACCATCAATTTCCTTCCAAAAAAAAAATAAAAATCAGAACTCCTTTTGGTTTGATCATGGATGATTAAATATCTATTGGTTTGATTCTTTATAAGAATTTAATTAATTTTTTTATCTTTCCACAAGATGGTCTTATTAATTCCACAGTGTACAATATAGTCTCTATTTACTCTCATTTAAATTTTTTAAGTTTTTGTAGTAACAATCATATATGTCAATATCCTCTTTTTAACAATGGTAGGTAGGCCAAGATGGGCAATCTTTCTTCTTCTTCTTTTTTATTTATTTATTTATTTTATGAAGTGGGTTTTATCAGTTTCACTTTTATTTGGACAAACGACATGCTGCTTCCTGGTTGTTTTTGGCCCTATCCTGAAATGATAATGACCTTCCCGTCTCTTTTGCCAAGCAATATGGAAATCTCTTTTTCACAATCAAAGTCAAGAACGCAACGCCTATAAGTTTGACCTGTTAAATTTCATTAAGCTTTAGAGTTTGATTACTACTCTTGGTTTCATGTTAGCGAACCACCCTTTGTCAAACTACTACAACTCGGCTAGAATTTTCGGTTCAACTCCTATTCCGCTCTCGCTGCTCTGATACCATTTTAGATTACCACCATCTATTTTAAAAACCACTATTTAACAAATAAAGTCGAGCAACTTAATAGAAAAATGTAACTCCGAATTCATGCTCACTGCTCTGATATCGCGTTAGTTTACTATTTTTAAGTAGCAACTTGTTGTTAGTGTGTGGTTCAACAAAGGGTTTCGTCATCTTTTTCCCATGTCAGGGAAAATATTTGCTCTCCTGGGAATAGTAGTAGCAACTCTCAGACCAATTCAATTTTGTTAAAAAGAACTGTCTTGAAAGTGTATATCGGACACAATTGCGCTGTCTGTATGTACTTAGACATGTGATGGGCTACATGTAAATCCAAGCACTGACTGGACTGCATGCCTGGCTAAGGGGAATTTTGTCTAGGGCTTTTACCAGTTTTTTTTTTTGGTGGAAGTATCCCTACTTCACTGTGAAAACTCCACTATTTGCAATTAAGGCATGTTTCACCTTTCCTGAACATTTTAGTGCTCAACCAATTATTCCAGTTATAATTGTGATTTTGAATGAAATTTAGCAACTGATGATGAACTACTAATGCATGCCATGTAAGCATATCAGTTTGATTTATAGACGAAATTGAACGGATGGAGGTGTTTTAAATGGTTTTAAAAATCGGAGTGCATTTTGAAAAAAAAAAATCCTACTTTAGGGTATCTTGAATGAAATTGTTATTTTGAATGAAATTTAGCAACTGATAAACTACTCATGCATGTCACATAACCATATCAGTGACGGATTGGACAAATGGGGTGTTTTGAGAAGTTTTTTATGCATCGAGGGTGTTCCGAACAGTTTCAAAAAATTAGGAATATTTTAAAAAAAGATCGATATTTTGGGGGCATTTACAAAATAATCTTATAATATAATATAAGCCTTGCTGTCAAATTGTACGTGTGCAAGTCACAGGAAACAAATGACCCCATTTCACCAAACTCTTGAAATTCAATTCACTAGAGTTGGGAAAACAAAAATAAAAGAAAAAGGGCAAAAAAAAAAAAAAAAAAGTTTGGCCCAAACCAAAGGCATTTAAAGGGCAACAAATTCCCCCATTTCACATGCTATCTGTGAAATCATATATTAGTACCGTCAAAAACGAAATTTATTACATCCACAAACACACACATATATCTTTATCCATATACTCTACTTTTATATATCATATGTTTGTATTATCACTTATCACAATATAAAGACAATATACCCTTATTCTCTAAACACAAAGTCACATTTTTGTAATGCCATCTAAAAAAGGAAATGAACATTATTTTTATTTATTAAGTTGGGCCAACTCTAACCATACGTCTGATCTCCTTTGATTTTTGAATATTTTCTCTGATGTACTTCAGTGAGTGAAGAACTTCAGCAACATTGTGATGAACAGGCTTCACTTCCTTGCTGCTCTTGGAGGCCGCCGCCACTAGAGATTGATCGGGCAAACTCATTGGAACTAGTGCAAGTGAATTGTCCACACAATCCTCATGATCATCACCACTGATTTCATTATCTGCTGCTGGAGATTTCAACTCTGCAGAGCTGAACACACATCACCAAATTAGTCTTTCATTAGCTTAAACAAATCCCATATGCAGTGTCGGAGCCAGAAATTTGTTTTCGGACGGCATAGATCGAGACAAAAATTTTGAATTATCTCCGTTTAGTTTTATCTGTTTTTCTTTTTCTTGAAGCTTTTTTATCTCCAATTCTACTTTTTTTCTTCGGAAAAAATCCAACTTCAAATGAATGTATGAAATAAGTTCATGCCAAAATAAGCCAAAATAATATGATAACTATAACAATTTGTCCAATTGAACATTGTAGTTTTTTAGGGTATAATTAAATTTCCTAAGAACAAGTACAGAAAATATTAGTACCCATATGAAAACCTTGTGTAGATAAGTATGGAGATAAAAAGAACAAGTACCTATTATGTTCAGACTTGGAATCTTCATATTTGCAACTTGGGTTGTCAAAGAAATCTTCTGGGGAACCAGAACTTGAAATGCTAGTAGTAGTATCTTGGCCAATTGGACTATTGTCTTCATTGTGGTGAGGAATTTTTTCATGACTTTCCTTAGCAATGTAGTTCTTTGAGGGATTTTGACTTGATTCTTGTGAACTGGTTACTGAGTTTGTAACCTGAAAATCAGAATAATTTTCTTCTGATAATTCATTAGTAGTACTACTAGAGACTTCACTACTTGACTGCTCTGACTCCGCCAAAATTGATGAAATGTTTAGAGCCTCAAGCTTCTCCTTAAGGAATTTGAGCTTCTTTTCAGTTTTGTTCCTCAATCTGATCTCTTCTTTCAGCATCTTCTCTAGCTCTACCAACTGAGAACCCCACCCAAAAAAGGAAAAAAAAAGGGTCAAAAAATCTTCAACAAAAAAAAAAGGGTATTAATCAAAATGTGATTAAAATTTTTATGTCTTTAATTGATTTACCTTATTGCTCATGCGCTCAGCATCCTCTTTTGCAGTCTTTGAAGCTTGTCTCTCTGCAAGAAGTCTTCCTCTTAAGCACTCTACTGTCTTTACACCATCATCTCCTAATTCCATCTTCTTATCACTAATATACAACCACCCCCATATCACATTTTGAACATAAATCATAAACACACACACATATATATATATATATATATAGAAAGAGAAAGAGAGAGAAAAATGAGAACCTACCTGCATTTCCTGTCATCTTCACTACTTTCCATCATTTTCATTTGCTTGTTTCTTCTGTCCTTGCACAATAGATTGCAAATGTGGTATGAAAGAATCAGAGAAACAAAAAGGAAAATGTGGGGTGTTTTTCTTTTTTTTTTTTTCCTTCTTCTTTTGGACAGAGAAAAAAAGAAATCTGAGCTTGTTGCAAAGAACCACTGTGAATTTTAGAAAACCAAGACTCACTTATTCAGATGATTTATATCTCTTAGCCAGGAGGAGGAGACACTCCCAAAGTTACTCATAAGTATGTTGGTTAATGTGACCCTTTTTATTACTGCCATAGTGTTTTTTTTTTTTTTTACCAGAATTTTGTATGTTCAAATCATTTATTATTATTATTTTTTCTTTGTCTGCACTTAACCCACTTTTCATAAAGTTCCACTTTAAGTACCCCAAGCTTCAGATACTGCAATAAACATTAACAGACTCCACTTTTTGCCTGGAGGACCCTTGATAAGGAAGCTAGATTTTCTCTCTCTCTCTCTTTTTTTTTTTTTTTGAGGATTATTCTTCTTGAAATAATGTATCATAATTACATGGTTATACTTATACATATTTAAAACTTGAGCTTAGTATTTTTTTTTTGTTTGTCTTTTTACATGTTCAAGATTGGATCAAACTGTTAAAACTCACCTAACACACATGTATTGTACTTGGAAGTTATTAAATTACATTGAACTCCATAGTAAAATATGTTGCTTTCTGATATATGTATTCAATATATCAGAAATATCAAATACAGACAGATAATATGCAGAAGCATTTATTGGTAAGAAGAGAGAGAGTGTGGATGGGTGTATTTCAAAATTTGAAACTTGGGGAAGACATCACGGAATAAATATTGCCATGTAGCTACTTCTGGTCTATCGATGGCACGTGATGTTCCTGATTTGTCTAATGTCTTTGTTCATCTAGCTTGTTTTGTTCATTTCAATTATTAGCCTTTATAATTCCCATTTCTCTGCCTCAAATATTCGGGAAAACAAACATTACTAAGTGTACTACTTCTTTTTATCAAAATTTTTTTTTTTTAAATATTAGCTTTGAAACTCAACTTCAACGAGGAAGTTTGAGGATTTCACACTTGTAAAATTCAGTTTTCTTAATTTTCATTATACGAAGAGGTGTAATTTCGGGTCACCATTAGTGAGGTTAGGGAAAACACGGAGAATTGTAAGGTGTGCGATTTTTTTCTTTTAAACTTCTTTTTCATCACAGTAAATTACTGCAACGGCTGAAAGAAGAACAGTCTCAAATTAAGGCCAACTTCTATAAATTTATGTGTCAATTTTTACTTGATGTATTTTTTACGATTTTATTGTTCTTGGTAATTTAAAATTAGAATGTCTAATTCTTAACGATCATCATATATTACAAATATCCATGTAAAGGAGCTAGTGAGAGCCTTGGCAGATAACTCATGTGATGTTTATGTGGCAAAAGCAATAAGAGGTAGGTGTCACATTTAAAAGTCTTATTACAAAAAGTTTAGCTACACGTTTACTAAGATGTATACTGGCAATGCTTTAGCTCCTCTCTTTTCTCTTCTTTTCAATTATTATTTTTTTTAATGTTGGGGCGGCCTTGGGGCCACGATAATTATATATCTTTATTTTCCTGCTCAGTAAATAATGTTTCAGCACACGTTTGTGACTTTGATGAGACCATGAAAAGTAGAATGGATTCTGATCAATATAGAAACATACTCTGGTTGCGACAATAGTCCAACAGTAATACCACATTTAACTTTGTTATAAGGTGTAGAATTCGAATCACTTACTCTTAAGTTTGATTTTCTAATGTCATCATAGTTTTGTAGTTGTAGACATAATTTAATGATAATTTCACATTTAATTCTACCATACAGTGTAGATTCTGTATCCACCTATCCAATTTCAGGAATAATAATAATAATATAAAAAAATAATACATAGACTGCAATGTTTAGCGGGGATGTTCAAAAAATCTGCTAAAACCCAATCGAACCAAATCGTTAATTATTTTTAAATTATTGGGTGGTTTGATCGTTTTTTAACTTAATTTTTTTGGGAGGTTTGGACCAAACCGCCCAATAATCTGCTCAAAAATATACTTATATGATATTTTAATTTTTAAAATGTTTTTTATATTTATTTTAATTTTTATTGATCATAATAAAGGTTCTACATTTATAAAATACACTCTATCATGTTTTTCTTGGTTTGTATTAAAACTTTAAATGATGTATTGTTATACATTTGCCATTTTTAAGTTATAACATAAACTTGAATTTTATTTTTGTTTTTATTGATTGACGATTTTATAATTTTTATGAATTATTGAAAAAATCTTAAACTGTCTAAACCAAATCGCCCAAACCGTTTAAAAAATTATTTTTAATTTGGTTAGTAATTTAAAAAAAAAAAAAAAAAAAAAAAAAAAAAATT